CGTAACATTTGAAATTATGCACATAAATGAAGATGAAATAAATCAATGAAAATGCATCGGGATTAGAGTAGTAAGGATTTGCAAACACTTAGCATTGACAGTGATATAGAGAACTGCCTTTAGATGGAAAAGCAAATCGTGCGGTTAAGAGCTAAGTAAATGACAATGTTGATGATTTAAAAAACGTAGATCAGATGAACAAAATGTTGTTAAGAGGTGATTTTTCTTTCTTCAAAATTGAAACTACCGTAAAATTAGGCATGTAAGGATCACAGTAAGTAGCACCACGACGTCTGGCGCTCGGCAGCCTGATAGGGACCCATTGCAGCTGGAATGTCCACATAGATTTATAACCATTTGTGTAATTATTGTTAGTAAGTATCACAGCGACTTATAAACGGCAAAATTGAAAAATTTGTCATTTTGTGTTGGATACCAGTACTGCACCAAATCACTTACCGATCACCAAGGCAGCTGCAAACACGAACGCGTTGCGAGTCGGCCCGGTCATGCCTGAACAGATCGGCCGCTGACATTTCTCTGAAAAGAAATTTCCGTTCAAAGTTGAAGTAGTTTGAATGCCCTTTAATTTTTGTGAAAAAATATCTCTTCGAAAACTTATTTATAATTATGGATATCTATAATTCTCTCAGGCTTCCTATCTCTCCCACAAAATAATTTGAATTGAACTAAGATTATTAATTCTTTACAAGTAATTTAACTCTGTCAGCATCACGTACTGTTGGACTACACACATACAGATTTAGTCAGTCACTTGGCAATAAGGGCTTTCAATAAATGTGCAACAGGCTTATTTTACAGTCTGACCAATATTTCTGCGATTTACTGAAATATTATGTGTTATATAAATGTTATAAAGGGATCATTATGGTATGCATGAACGCATATCATATCAATAGGATCAGAAAGGTTTGTAAGCCAGTCACAGTTATTTTGGAATGAGCAAATGGGGTGCAAAAGTGGAGAGAAGTGCATTTTACCCACCACCTCGTCTTCCAACCTCAAATGTGTTTTTGCAGTTTTCTAAAATTTAAACACAACGAAAAATGATTATGATCAGAAACTGGGAGATGGAGAGGTTATGAAAAAGGATTGACTGCCGCAAATCA